AATGGAAGCATTGAGGTGAGGTGGTGGTGGTGGGGGAGAGGACGGCTGGAGCTGTGGCCGGCCATGATTATGTACCACTGCACAACGCCACGAGATACAATGTGATAACTTTCAGGATGTACATACACATATACATACATATTCTCATCTACACCTTATTCTTTCTTTAATATATACCATTCCTTTTAATTTAATTAATTTCTTCTCCATATACAATACATGCATTTCTTGTCTGCCATGTGGGATAAAAGTTAGACAGTAACTTTTTTTTTTTTTTAATGTAATATTAAACACAATTATACTTTGGAATAATATAACAATTGACTTTGCATGTAAATCATTAAGTGTCATGCATGTGTTGGAACATATAAATTAGCTAGAATACTAAAATATACATATATACTTGTTTAAATTAGGTTTAGTTACTACATCGATTCAACATTTCTGGATTTTGAACTCCAATTTATTAGCTTAGATTAGAAAATGGGTTTTCTGCTTGATGAGCAAGATTTGGACTAGATGAATGAGTTGAGCATGAAATAATTAAGTCACTTCAATTAATAAAAGTAATATTCATCAAATTATTAATCTCGCATTCAATTAGACAATCTATTCTTCACATATTACAACCTTTATTACTGTAAAACTCTCTCAATACTTGTATTGTCATTGGTTCTACTTTTATTCTCTTAAAACAAATTTAATAATTTATTTACAAATAAAATCACAAAATAAAAAACTAACATTTCGCATAAGCACACAATTTAGGAAAAAAGCTAGATTACCTATGAGAGTTTGAACGTCTGTATACTTTCTTAATTTTTGCTATTTTAATTTGCAGCCTAATTTTTGTTTTTTTTCGAGTCTTCACATGAAAGAATGGAAATTTGGAGATTTAGACAATTAGAAGAAAGAAAAAAAAAAAAGAGTAGATTTTGTATTTTTGTGAATTGTGATTTTACACATTTAAAACAATTATATTTTTATATTTATATGCTTTCAAAAAATATTTTTATATTTATATATTGACTTTATAAAAAATACTGGTGTCAAATTTAAAATTTTATTAAAAAATAAATGTATACATAATTAATAAAAAATTTCAATAGTGTAACTTGACACCACTTTTGTAATACCTAGCTATGTTCCTATTGTAAGTTTGTAACTACTAACTAACACTAGATAGGGATTTTTTTTTTTTTTTAAATGTCATTTCCTCTATTAAATAGCAAGGCTTAGTACATAAATGGCTATAAATACCTTCTATCTTTTCCTTCTTCTCCCAACAGGTTGAATTCCCAACCCTGAGGGCTCTCACACCCCGACCTGACAAAGTATTTAGGTGGATATAAATTACGGTGACTCAATGACTCAGTAAATAGGGCTAAATGTCGGTGCGCATAAGGAATCTGCTCACTTTAAGCATAGTCCACACATTGCCGCCGCCTAGACTCGAATATTAGTCTCTTCTCTCAAATACTGCATATTAAATCATTAAGCTACGCCCATGCGGGCTTCTCTTTTTTCATGCTTCTGCTGAGAGGGAAGATAATAAGATATGGTAAAGAAGAAGAAAGAAAGAGTTCTACTATACAAACTTTCAAATTCTACTCCCTTGCTTGTACTCCCTAAGGTGGTAAACAACGAGTGATTAATTTTCATCACGTGAGTCTACAGAAAAGTGTCTATATCAAGAACATGTGAGAGGGAGTAAAAGTTGAGAGTACACCAAGTATTTTTCGGAAAGAAGAGATGTAAGATGGAAAAATATAGCTGTTAGTTTTATACTAGAACAAGGAAAAACATACATATATATAATTGACAATTGACAAGACAAATCAAAATAATAAAAAATGATGGTTGTGATGTCACTATCATAATTTTAGGCATTTGATCGTTAACAAAGTAATTGAGCTACTTACGATTAAAAAAAAAAAAAAAAAAAAAAAACTACATCAAAATTCCAATAGTTATGCTGTGCAACCGTGACAACATCGTTTTGACTAAAAAATGCGCGTTCCATTTTAAAAAATTAGTTTCGATTCCCCTCAACAGCATTATGTTGTTCATTCATTGTGAATTTTTAGTTTATTCATTGTGGATATTTAGTTCATTCATTGTGGATATTTAGTTTATTCATTCTGGATTTTGTGTTATTCATTCATTGTGGATATATAATTATGAATTTGTGGATATATAATTCAAATTATGCACAAAAAATGCTATTGCCGGGAATCGAACCTGTTTTTTTTTTTTTTTTTTTTTTTTAAGTGGGACGCGTATTTTTAGTCAAAACGACGTCGTTTTTGCAACCGTGTGCACCATACATGGTTCACACGGTTTCACATCATAATTTGCGTCAAAATTCCGAATTTCCGATTAACTAGGTTGCTCGAGCTAGCAGGTTAGACCATCTCTATTCTCCAACCCATTTAACACTAAAAATCTCCATCACATGTCACATTATTTTTATATTGAGTTAATACCCAAAATCGTCTTCAACTATAGTGGTTTTTCTCAATTTTGTCCTAAATGACTTTGGTGACTTAATGTAGTCCCAGAGTTTTGTGTTTTTACTCAATTTCGTCCTAGACTTTGGTGTTTTTGCTCAATTTAGTCCCCCATTTGTTATTCCGTCCATTTGTTGTTAAATAAATAGACAATTCAGTAATTTTAATATTGGCATCTCTTTATTCATAGACATGTGAAGTGCGAAATCCCTCTTTTTTTACGAATTACTCCCAGAATCACTTCGAAAGCTGCGAATATAAAATTTGATTCGTAGGTCTGAGAGTAACTCTGGGTGTAATTCGTGTAAGAAAGAGAGATTTCTCACTTCGCAGGTTGAAAGTAAAGAAAGGTCAATATTGATATTATTGAATTGTCCCTTTATTTAACACCAATTTGACGAAATAACAAACGGAGGACAAAATTGAGCGAAACACAAAAGTCTGGGACTATATTAGGTCACCAAAGTCGTTTAAAACGAAATTGAGAAAAACCACTATAGTCGAGGACAATTTTGGATATTAACTCTTTTTATATTGTTATATTTGATTTATTTTAATTTTTAATTAATCTGTATTCAATATTTGAGTTTTACTAACTCTATTACAATATGTATCTGTTCTACTTTCTCAACCTACTGAAGCACAAAGAGTCAATGTCGCCTCCACTGTGCCATTAGACCACAAGGTCTTGGTATCTATATTCAATATTAGTCTTGTTTTAATCCTCTTGATGAAATCTTTCAAATGATATAATTTATTTATAATAATATACTCCCGTAACATTTATGTTTAAGAATGGATTTTGATGGACCTTGGTCCATGGTATAACAATTGTTGATTGTTGATTGAGTTAACTTTTTTGGACTGATATTGTGCATGGAAAGTACTTGATATTTTGCCGATGTGAAATTAATTAGTGTTGTAACTCTAGTCTAATCTGGAGGGGTGGTTGAGTGGAAATGACTCATTCACCCTTAATCAAAGGTCAAGGTTCAATTCTTGGCTTTGAGAATGGAGCAACATTAAATCTCCAAGTACCCTGAGTAAACCAACAAAAAAAATTGTAACTCTAGTCTCACTTGAATTGACTTCAGGTACATGCTTTTGAAAGTTTGTCGGCTGTGGCAACTGGCAATTTGTGATGGTTAGAGAATGGAGAGTGGTTTACAAATTGTGGTGGGGTTGGGGTAGCCATATTCATTAAGTGTTTAAAGAAACCAATCCATTTGTCATTTGTGACAAGATTATTCAATTGGTCACAAGTCTTATTAGGTTTGTATTCCGATCAATCATTATACCATGAAAAGTTGTCTACTCATTTTTAGTACATTATTCATTTTTCAAAGGTTTATTTTTAATGTACCGAAGAATCATTTTTAAGTACTATTTAAAAATGAACATTCAGAAATTTTAAAATCAACATCCAATATATTAAAAATGAATATTTATTAACAGTTCACAATATAATATGCCAAGTACGATTCATATAGGATGATCTTTCATGGACTGGCCTAGTTGGTCTTTTACGCAGGCTGATCTCTTTTGGATTGGGCCAATGTCCAAACAATGGCAAATTGGCAATATAGTTAATTGACTGGTTGGGGAAAATTATTCCGTGGACCCATTCATTGGGTTAACACCCTTTGGCAAATTATGCTGTGAGCAAGTAAGCACGTGCCCATCTTGTAAGGTGGATACGATTCTATATCTATAATTTCTATACTGAAGATTCATAATTTCTATACTGTAGATTCATAATTTTTATATTGTAGATTCATAAAATTTATACTTTAGATTCTAATTGTTGAACTCTGTTTTCACAAATCAGAGAACTATATGTTCATAATTGATAACTATACAGTTTAGAAATTATGAATTTACAGTACAGAAATTATGAATGTACAGTACATATATTATGAATCTGCAGTATAGAAATTATGAATCTATTGTATTTAAATTATAAATCTACGGTTTAGAAATTATGAATCTAAAGTATAAATTTTATGAATCTACAGTATAAATTTTATGAATCTACAGTATAAAAATTATGGATCTACAATATATAAAAATTATAAATCTACAGTATAAAAATTATAGATATAGAACCGTATCCACCTTGCAAGGTGGGCACGTGCTCACGGCATAACGTTCCACACCCTTTAATGTCATGGAAGACTAGGGAAGTGAAGTCAAGGTCTTCTCCTTATGTTTAATAAGGGGAACAAGACCGGCTGCATTTGTAATTGGATGATCACTTTGACTTCAACAACCAAGAAATTATCTTGCAGTTACCCTCACTGAAAATTCAATAAATAAATGAAAATATATACACTAATTAAGGCCATCAAAGACTAGGTAAGTGAAGTCAGGGTCTTCGCCTGATGTAGAGGATCACTTTCACTTCAACAACCTAGAAATTTTCTTGCAATTTCCCTCACTTTTCTTCTTTTTTCCCACCATGTCTAGATGGAGTAGATGCCCCCATTCAGATGTTAGAAAACCACAGTTTCATATTCATTTCAAGACCGCGTCTGAACAGTTATCGTATAAATTTTATACAATACTCGCACCAACATGCCAAATATGTAAACGTTCATAAGAAGAGTGAGGGTGAGATGACTGACCATTCTTGAACTATCTTGCTCCCACCTATGCAGGCATTGCGTATATCGTAGCCTTCAAGAATAACAATAATATCAAGAGGTCATCTCATTATTTCAGTAGCATGAAGCACAAATATAAAATAATGGTAAGAGAAGTCAACAAACCAAGTTCACATAAGAGAAAAGGAAATAAATGCAGAAACAATAACCCAGAAAGGAAACAAAAGAAAGGGTTCACACTCTTGTATTGTTACATCAGCAAAATAAATAAACATACCAGCACTAGAGCCTCTCCTTCTGAGAAAGTGAGGTGGGCCAAATGCCTGAGGTTCCAACCACTACGGCGTTTTGTATTCATTCTGGGTGCAATGCTCATTCCATATATAGCTTGCCTTGCAGCTCCTGTTTCCCCACTCTGAGAAGAGAAATCAGCTAGTATATCCACAACTTAGTCTACTTTAGAGTCCAAAGTTAAGCTTGTTTATTCTAGATTACCCAAAAGCCAGTTTTGTTTATCATGTTAACAATCATACCACAAGAAGAATAGAAAATCAAGCCATACCATTTACCCACTTTTACTCGTTGTCCAGAAATTTTCCTTCTCATGATTAGAAAACGCCTATAGTTCCATCTTAACTAGAGAGGCTACATCTTGGATGAACTTTTTGAGGTGAAGGTGTTGTTAGACAGAACACCATTTTGTCTGCCAATCTTCAGTCATCCCTTAGCTCCTCTCACTTCTCATCAAATCATGCAACCTATACCTGCAACCACAATGGACATTGACACACCTGGTTTCTCCACCATTGACTCCTCAGGCCTCAATAAACTTGTTAGGATGAAAGATCAAAAGTGGGTTCGTGAAAATGGAGGAATTGAAGGCATCATTTCAGCCCTTGAAACAGATGTCGACAACGGCATCCATGGTGGCCGTGCAGACCTTGATGCTAGACGAAAAGCCTTCGGTTCAAACTTTTGTCCAGGCTGTAAACCTCGAAAGTTGTTCTCCTGTCTAGTCCTGGAAGCACTTAAAGAACCATTGATCATCATCCTTCTAATAACTACTATTTCTTCTCTTGCCTTTGGCATTTTAAAGAATGGTCTAAAAGAAGGGTGTAAAGAAGGACTGGTCAAGCTTAGTGCTATTCTGGCAGTAGTCCTTGTTTCTGCTGGAGCGGAGCTCTGGTCACTCCGTGAATGCATCGACCTCTCTGACTTTAGCAGTTACCTCCCCCAAGTTGATGTTCTGAGAGATGGTAAATGGAAGCCGATGTCAATATGCAGAGTTGTTGTGGGAGACATAGTATTTCTGAAGCCTGGAGACCAAGTTCCTGCAGATGGACTTTTCATTGAAGGCTGCTCATTGCAAGTCGAGAAAACAAAAATAGATGGGCAAATTGAGCTTGTGGAAGTTGATGGCCACGAGGATCCATTCTTGTTCTTTGGGAGTACAGTTGTTGATGGATATGCTCGGATGCTGGTAACAGCAGTTGGAATGAACAAAAAGAATCATGCAATAAGCATAAAAGGCACAATAGTCGATGAAACAAAACACCTTACCTCAGTAGTAGGTAAAGCTGGCCAGGCAGTCGCTCTACTGACATTTTTAGTGTTACTGGCCCGATTCTTTGCTGGAGGAATACATGATGAACATGGAAACAGAGTTTCATTTGGAGGAGAAACAAAGATACTTGATGCCTTGGTTGCTATAGTTGGACTTATTGCCACACCCGCAATGATTGCTTTGACAGCTACTCCAGAGGGTCTGCTATTGGCTGTGAAAATCACTCTTGCTTATTCAATGAGGAGACTCAGGCGTGCTGGTGTTCTAGTGAGGGAGCCTTCACTATGCCATTCAGTCGCTTCTGTTACAACCATCTGTATGAACATGACAGGAACAGCAACATATGACTCCAAAGATGTAAGACCTCTTTTCCCTAATAACTGCAAATAGTATAGCCTTTTGTTATGAGTAATAGAATAACTGTGTGATTAATAGAGACCTACTGCATTTCTCTCTATGATTAATAACGTGATTTGGAGCACTACACGTAAGTTTTTATATGCAAATATTCCTTAATAAAAACAATCAAATTTACTACAAAACCTTTAAAAAACACCTCACTCTTCTTGAGAAAAATAAGGATGAAAAAGGAAGAAGAACAAGGCACACAGGAACTAAAAAGAATAGAAAGACAAAACATGGAAGTTCAGCATAGCAAATTATGTCCTTTCTTCTTTATTTATATATAAACCACATAGCAAAGGTGAATTAATCAAACAGAAAAAGGTAAATGTCAATCTTAAATGCCATACAGCTCAAATGAAAACATGAAATTATAATACTGATTCCAAGGATATACTGACTCTTTTGATCTTGCTTGTTTCACAATAGGTACCTAAGTTTTGGCTTGGGCTAAACTCTATTGAAGAAGTACCTCATAATTTGATTGCAACAAATGTTCTAGAGCTATTACACCAAGGTATTGGCCTGAACACAACTCAGCCCCCTTCAAGGTTGTTGTGTGGATCTCCTCAGAATTCAACAGAAAAGGCAATTTTTGAATGGGCTGTAAAGCACTTAGGCATGGATGTAGAAACTCTAAAGGGGAACTGCACCATTCTTGAAATTGAACCCTTCAATTCCAAGAATAGACAAAGCGGGGTTTTGATCAGTAAGAATGCAGACAATACAATTCATGTACACCGGAAGGGAGCAGCAGAAGATATAATACCTACATGCTCACACTATTATGATACAACTGGTATTGTCAGAGTGATTAACAAAAACACAAAGGTGCTGTTGGATCAAATACTGGAAGGCATGGCAGAAAATGGCATGCGTTGCATTGCTTTTGCACACAGAAAGACATCAATACGAGATTATTTCACTTTTTCTCGCCAACAGCTAATCTTATTAGGCATTGCGGGTCTAACAAGTCCACGTCGAGCTGGGTTAAGAAGCACTTTAAAGGACTGCAGGCGAGCAGGAGTGAACTTCAAATTGATCACAGGTGACAACATTCTAACGGCCAAAGCTATTGCTGTGCAGTGTGGCATACTTGAGCCAAATCACAAACCTGAGGAGGTGGTAGAAGGGGAGGAATTCAGGAACTTTACAGCAGAGGAGAGATTAGAAAAACTGAATAACATTCGCCTCATTGCTAGAGCCATCCCATCTGACAAGGTTCTTATGGTAGAGTGTTTGAAACAAAAGGGACAAGTTGTTGCTTTTCTAGGCCGTGGAACTGGGGATGTACAGGCACTTAGAGAAGCTGAAGCAGGGCTCTGTTTTGGGACTCAGGGTGCAGAGATAACCAAGGCAAGCTCTGGAGTAATAATGCTTAATAAGGAATTCCCTTTGCTAGTTGACATTTTGAAGTGGAGTCGGGGCATTTATGAGAGTATCCAGGTATACACTCAGTTCTTGCTCACTGCCACTTTTGTTTCTATGGTGCTCGATTTTTTCATGGCAGTTTCAGCTAGTGATCCACCCAATTTCGATGCAATGGTATCAGTTTCAGCTGGAAAAGTCCCATATCCGGTGTTTCAACTTTTGTGGATTAAGCTACTACTAGGCATTCTAGCTGCTGCAGCCCTTGTTGTGAAGAAGCCATCTGAAGAGCTAATGCACCAGCCACCTAGGAAGCAGAATGAGCCGCTGATGACCACACTTATGATCAGGACCATACTTACTCAAGCATTATATCAGATAGCCATCCTCTTAACCATACAATTCAAAGGACAATCTCTCTTCAATATCAATGGTAAGGAGAAAGATACGTTGATCCTAAATACTTATATTCTCTGTCAAGTGTTCACAATAATCAATGCAAGACTCTTTGAAATGAACACACTTGAAGAAATAATGAAGAAAAAGTTGTTTTCTGGTGTCATTGGGTTGACAATTGGCCTTCAAGTGTTGATGGTAGAGGTTTTGAAGAGGTTTGCTGGCACAGCACAGTTGAGTTGGGGACAGTGGGGAACATGTATATCCATTGCTGCTGCATCTTCTCCGATTGGCTGGCTAGTTAAGAGCATATCAGCCTCAGAGAAACCATATTTCAGCAACTTAACTTGGTTACAATCAAAGACCAAAACAGATTAGTCAGACACAAATCTAATGGTCTTTGCAAATAAAGGTTTCAATCAAACTATCAATGTCATTGATGTTTTGTGTGATAAACATTTCCAAGTATATTATGGCTTTTGTATGTTAGTCCATTCCAGTTTCCAGGACTCCAAGTCTTTCAAAAAGAAATTTTAAAAAATGTAAAAATTAGTCTGTTTGTTGTAATTTCTTCCTTACCAGAACCAACTTCTTAATTTTCTTTCTTAAATTTCATTTTGCATGTCTGATGTAGCTGATAAAACCAATTATTATTTTTAACAAATCTGAATTACACAAATGAAAGTAGCATTTTATTTTGAGACTGCAGAATCTATAACTACTTAGAAGGAAAGCTGAAATAGTAAATGAGTATTATCAAGGGGGGAGGCCCTTCAAAGCTCAATTAGTGGCAGGAAGAAAGACTTAGAAAAACTAATGGCAAGCAGATCAAGAATCCAAGGGTCTAAATGTCTTGAATTGTAAAGCTTTTCATCTCATATATAAAATATAGTTAAGAATCCACTCGAAATAAGACATCAACAGATACTGAGAGTGTCACCTCAGGAAAATAACCACACAACCTTGCATTTATTTTCAATTTCCTCAAGTTTCCAACTGTTGGCTAAAACCTCTGAAGATTTTGCAAGTAAATTAAAATAAATCGAAACGACACTTTGGTTTTCATTCAAACATGTTCCCTAAATGAATGATCTCTTCCTCTCCCAATTCCTTTCCATTCTTGACACATCTTGCAATTCTCAGATTCAAATTTACCCTCAATCAATTTACACACAAAATAAAGAAGAAAGGAAAACATTCACGGATCATTATTCCAAAAAATGATGATTACGTCCTAAATTTGGCTTCTCTAATCTCCTAATTAAAGTTTTTAGCTTAAAACATTTAAACATGAATCCTGTTACCATGTAGCCAATTTAAAATTTATTATTAATCTAATCATAAACCAGTGTTAACGCCATGGCGAGTATCAATTTATGATTGCATTTGCAGCAGAAGCTATAGAAGAATGCAGACGAGGAAGAAATATTAAACAGAGATCACTAATAGCATTTCAGAATTATAAAAGAAAGTTAACTAACCATTGGACTCAAACTGAAGATCTAAGACCTGCAGAACTGGAATAGTCTTAGTAAAAGAAAGAGATAGTTTACCCTAAGACTTCAGTTCCCTGCTTCCATGGTTGAAGAAGAACCCGATTACCCGAGCAAGTGTTGAGTCTATATCCGAACCCGTTTCCCTTTACGGGTTGGCGCCTTGTAGTCTGTTCTGTGGACTTGTGGAGTAGTAGGATTCAGGTTTGCCGCCGGTTTCCGAATCGATAGTATGTATGTATTATGTATGTATATATATTATATATATCATAATATCATTTGGAAACATTGTTTTATTAAATAAAATTAACTTAAATTTTTTTTTTACAAGAATATATTATATTGTAAAGTTCCTAGAATAATATTATGTTTCTAAAAGTTTAATTTAAGTAGATAAAATAAAAAGCATATTAGTATTAATATTTACAAATTAAAAGATCGAGTTGTAGCAAAGCATATTTCTTTAGTATGTTTTTCAATAAATTAAATATAAAAGACATTATTGAAATGTATTGTAGTAGGATGGTTAAATGTAGTATATTATTTATAAATAGCACGGTTTCATTTCTTGCTAATTATATTTTAATTTTTTATTATTTAATAAAATAGCATTGATAACATAGTAGAAACAAATTTAGAAATATGTCTTTAAGAAAATTGGTATCCTAAACAATATTAAGATGATCAAATTTAGAAATATGTCTTTAAGAAAATTGGTATCCTAAACAATATTAAGAAGTTGACATTAAAATTTTTAGAATGTAAGTTCCAAAATGTTAATCATTACTGTATGCTTAATCAACTTTTGGTAAATTTGCTTTCTTTTTTCGAGAAATAGTAATTAATTGATGCAAGAAGAATTCCATAATGTTCACCAACATATATTGTATAAATTGCAATCACTACTTTAATTTAATTTGCTCGCTCATCATCAACTTCACAATTTACAACTATTTCAATTCACAATGTCTAAAAAGCAAAACCATGGTGAGAGTTCTGGATCCCACAAACAAGGTAGGCCTGATCTCCTTTCCTTTCCAGTGCCAAAGAAGACAAGAAACAAATCGGAGGAGACTGCATGGAAACGGGAGACGGCGTCGTTTGCTTATTTAGAGCAACTTCCGGTGTGTGGCTCTTCATCTTCGATGACTAAATTTAATATTCCTGGTCGTATTCCTGAGAATCTTGAACAAATAGTAAAGGAGGTGGACAATGATCCTAACAACTTTTGGAAGGGAGTTCCTAATGAAAGAGATTTGAGTGACATATATAGAGATCCAAAATCACGCCCGCATTAGTTAACATTTTGTTGTATGGAATAGTGATACGCACCTACCAATATATACCAAATTTAATTTCATAGATTTATAAGAATTATAGTATTAGTGAATTAGAGAAACATTATAGTATGAATTAGTATATTGTTAGCATGCATTAGAGAATCGTTAGAATTAGTTATGCTTGAGAAATAAGACTTTAAAGTATCTTTTTATGAATCGTTATAATAAAAGAATGCAGTGATTTTACTTCAATTCTCATCAAAAATTTATATTTGTATTTCAATTTCTGAGAATTTGAAAGGTGAAAGGTGATGAATGGTGTATCTTCCTGTTGAATGTATGTAGATGTAGATGCTAGTTTTCTCTCTCTATATGTGTTTTTGATCTTGTAGTGTGTATTGTGTAATAAGACTTTCATTAATGATTAACTAGACAAAGAAATATCATAACTCATAACATGTGGGATTTATCATTTTTTTTTTTATATAAATAAACTCTAAAATTGTATAACGAAGCAATAAAATAGACAATAGTGTTTTGAGAACACATATTTGATTGAAGTTAACCTATTGATTGACGTTTTATGTTGAGAGTAGAAGAAGAAGACACATTATAATCGAAAGAGAGACGTCAAACGTCAATTTTAGGTTACAAAAAGAGATGAGTAATTTTGTCTCAAAGTTATATTTTTTCTTCCTAAAATCCATGGAATTGAAATACTGGGGGAGGGGGCCGGGGGGAGAGGCGCAGAATTCTAATTCCATGAAAGTGAGGGAATTTCAATTTCGATCCGTGGAGTTGAAATTCACTCCAACCAAACGAAGGAATTTGGTTTCCATTGGAATTACATTTTCACGTATAATTTAGTGCTTTATTTTAGCATTATTCCTAATAACAATAATTAACAAAATTTAAAACTTTTTAATAGAATCCCACACTCGTGCTACAACATCTTTTATAATTGTGTAGTTTTGTGTGGTATCACTCCAGAAAGACAAAATATGAAACAAGTGCACAATTTTTATTATGATTTACCCACTATACACTCTTAATTAGCAATCATTATATCGTGAACCCTAATCCAATACGCATAATTTGACTTCATAATGTACAGAATTTATGTTCATAATGCACAGAATTTATGTTCATAATACACATACACATAAACATTATATAATGAACATGAATTCTATGCATTATGTTAAGTGTTTATGTGTCTTCATTATATCGTGTTTATATGTATGTGTATTATGAACATGAATTTTATGCATTATGAACATAAATTTTGTACATTATGAGGTCAAATTCTGTATATTGAACCATGGTCCACAATATAAATTGCCCTCAGTTAGTGGTTACCCAGAACAACATTAAAAATAAAATAAAATTAAAGCACAAACAAAAGAGTGTTCATTCCGTGGCAACAGGTCCCTACTAGTTTGGATTATATTGTTGGTGTACTTTTCTTGGAAATGATTGTCTCTTTGCATGGAAAGTGACCAGCAAAAAAGCAAAACTTGGCTCAAGCAAATTCTTTCCCACTTCAAACCTTCAGCAGCCATGTGTACAGCAATCTAATCTTATTAGACAAATCCCAGATACTTTTACTTGCTCACAATGTTGTTTCTATTTGATGCGTGTCGTGTCATTTCCAGTTGGATACCATCCTCCAGCCAAGACTCCAATTGACTTCCCAAAATGTTAAGTCCACACAAGCAACTTCACAGAATTTCATGCTACTCAAAATCCAGTTTCTTTGCACCTTCTGTAATCACCATTTACATCAATATGCCACAGTACAGAAAGTACTTAAAGCAGTTTTGCTTGGCAAGTTACCAGCTGGATAACACAAGCATAAGCTTTTTGTATAAATATCAAGAATCAGAGCTTACCCAAACCAGAACCTTGATATTCTATCTTGAATATTCAGTTTGAACACTTTTTGCTTCAATTTCTTCATCCATAGCCTTTCAACAAACATGCTTCCAGCCTTAGAAGTAGACTCAAGGCCTCTTTTAAGTCCCCGGAAGAGGTGGCGACGGGCCTTTGCCACTCTCTACAGCACCAGGGTCCTGAAGCAGATTGTATCGCAAAATCAAAGTGAAGTTTTACACTCACTAATTGACATACCCAAGGAATTTTCGGGCCTCACCTCGTCCATCCTGGCCAAGCTTGTACAAGAGAAAAATGTTGAACAGCTCGATCAGCTTGGAGGAGTTAACGGCTTGATCTCTGCTCTTGAGACTGATGCTGAGAAGGGGATCCGAGGTGGTGAGGAAGACATTGGCAGACGACGCAATGCCTTTGGTTCAAATACATTCCAGAGGCCGTCAATGAAGACCATTCGTATATTGCTGGAAACCTTCAAAGATCCCATCATGATTGTCTTATTACTATGTGCCACATTGTCCATTGGTTTTGGGATGAGAAAGCATGGCCTCCATGGATGTTTAGATGGAGGAATCATATATGCAGCTGTGTTTCTTGTCATTGCTGTCAGTTCTTTGAGTAAATATTGGCTGGAAAGACAGTTGTACAAGCTATCCAAAGCCAATGATCACGGCATGAATACAACAGTCATCAGAAATGGGAAGCGCCACAGTATTTCAATTTCTGATGTTGTTGTTGGAGACGTACTTTGCTTGGGTGTCGGAGATCGAGTCCCTGCAGATGGCATGTATATTGACGGGCACTCCTTGCTAGTGGATGAATCACATATCGGAGATGACAACAGTCCTGTTGAAGTGCAGAGCATCAATAATCCATTCTTGCACTGTGGCAGTAAAGTTATCAAAGGCGATGCTCGAATGCTGGTCATTGCAGTTGGCAAGAACACATCCTGGGGTCAAACAAGCATGAGTTCAACAAGCTGGGGTTCTAATGAAAGAACGCCTTTGCAAATAAAACTACACAGACTGACCTCGAT